TTTGTTGCTGCTTTTAGCTTTACCAGTACCATCCGCATTGCTCACCTCGGTTTTCACAGATACACTTCAGTAATGAGCTCTTACTCCTCAACTGCACACTTGGTAACCAGCTTGTAAATGACTCTGGTTCACTATGTAAAGAGTCTGAGATAAAATACTGATTTCCTACCTTGATCAATTCTTTGAACTTGGGGTCTTCTTTTGAGTTAGGATCAATCATGGTGCGTTCCTCATTCTCCTCTGTCCAAGTAAAATGGGAGAATTTGATTAGATCCATCTCAAATGTATAGTGCTAAGAATAATGCAACAATAATTATTCATGAAGTGGGCTGGCAGCTGATTAAGAAATGACAGTGTCCAGTCATCATCTGAGCAAGGGAAAATCCAATGATCACAGTGTTAGGCATGTTTTTCAGAGATGCCAAGAAAGATCACACAGCCATAACTTCTCTAAAATATAACTGTCTCCACTGACCTTCCACAATTCAGACTCTCTGCATGCAGAATACACAAGGAAAATCACCATCCTCAGTGCTGTGTGGTGCACATTAATATTATTGTGCCATAAACTTCAATTGATTAATTTTCCCTGTCTTCCATTTGTATTCAAAGAGCTTTGCAACCACCCTTCCCAAATTGCACCATCTTGAACAGTATAGCAAGCTTACAGCACTGTGCTCAGTGCAACAGTTGAGACTTGGGGTGATGGTTTCTGCCTCTATTCTCCTGTTCTCTGAACCTCAGCATGACACAAGTCAGAGATTGCTTAACCTGAGGTTAACTCGGAGTGAAAATGAGCCCAGTTTACATCATCTGTAAACCTGGGCATGTGGGAAGGACACAGAGTAGATTTATCGGGGTATCCTCCTCTATTTCTTCTATTGATGGGGGATGGAAAGATGTGAGAAACACTCTCCAGTGGTGAGCAGGACAAGCACGAGAGGCATGAATGTAAAGATTAATTATTATAAGAGATGATTTGATACAGAACTATCAATAATGAACTTTAGCTCAGTCACGCTAACAACTAAACAACCTTTGGCAAGATTATCTTTACCATAACAGTGCACCTGGACAGTGCATCAAACGCATGTTTAAATTCTACCAGATAGGACAATAATATTTAGGAAGCACCTGGAGCAAGTCTGGTATTGTAAATTTTGGTGTTTGCTTTCAAGGAATAGGCCTCTCCCTGCACCCTTCTGTTTAGTTCCTTTTGCAAATGTTAGCTGTGTTCTAAGTTAGAAGTGACAGCTGTGGTCTAAGCTAGTTCCTTCAAGTGAAGAGCACACCCTGGCTACGACACAACAGGAACACAAAAATAGGTGATGGGGTCACAGCTATGTGAGCAGATCCACTTCTCTTCAGCTAAAATAAGCGTGTGCAGAAATCATGAATTTATCTTTAGCTGAGAGACTAGGTAGGCAATAGGGAAATTTTGTTTATTTGAAGTCAGTGACCAATGTCCCACAGAAACCAGATCCATACAAGTATTTGTTTGCCTGAGCTTTATGTGGGAGAAATCTTTGAACTCTGATAAAGTCAGTGTATCCCACAAAGTTCACTCAGGAAGCCCAGCCTGCTTGTGTTTCTGTCGAGTACCCAGGAATGAAAGCCAGGCGCATTTGTTCTCAAAGCACCACCGTGTCCAAATATCTCGGTCTGAAGGAGCTGGTAGCCCTAATTCTGCTGAACTGAGGGCACCAGCTTCAATCCTGGAAGTCCTAACCATGGCTTTCAAGTCAGGCTAAGCATTTCATGTTGGTACTGTGTTGTTGGATGCTGACGCTCCTTCCAGCATGACAGCAAATGGGGCGTTGATAAGACCACTGACCATGCCACAGTCACCTGGCACAGAGGAACCCTTTAAAATCTGCACCAACTAACGACCCAACTACACTGCCTCGCTCTTACAGTGCGAGACATCACAGCTGTGAGGAGGGAAACGTGAGACTCGCACAGCGCAGGTACAAGACAGACTAGACAGTCTAAGCGGGTCGAGTTACATCTCCCAGATATTTCAATTTGTTATTTTGCAGGGTCCCTTATCTGTTTAAAGGGTAAGTCTTTGCTGTCTAAACACACTTGACAAATTTCCACAAAACTTGGAAGAGACATGAATTATCCTCTCCCCCTCTTATTTTTCTCCTTTCTTTTACTTCCTCATTCCTCCCTGGGATGAGTCAGGCAGTCTAACCGTAAGGAAGTGACACCAAATACACACCCAAACCCTGCAAACGGAAACCCTGAACAAGACTTGATACATATTGGGGAATGGGGTAGGGAGAAGCAGAACAGAATGGGACAGAAATTTGAAAATTTATCTTCTTTCTATAAAGTGTTCACTGTCTTACAAATTTGTGTCCTCATAAAAATTACTTATTGTTTCCCCAGCCTAAAAGCTCATCTGTTTATTCAGCATCCATCTCATTTTGCTGTATAGCCAATTTGCAAGGTGGCAGCAGTAACTAAGGCAGAATGTGGCCTCCATTAGTTAAAGGTACCATAGGATATGCAGCAAAAAGAGGCGGCTTAAGGGGTTCAACAAGGCCTAGCAACCACATCACACATTTCTGCTATAGACCTGCTGCGGGCTGGTCCTTTTACAGCTCAGTTCCCTACTTATACACGGAGAAGATAGATAACAACCTCCTTAGTACAGAAGGACATCTGTGAGGATAAACACGCTAAGATGCACTTGGACAGGGGGTTAGTGGTAATGAAATAAATCTAAGCAGACAAATGCAGCAGGATTTTTACAGATCCCAACTTTTTATTTGCTTTCACGATCACTATAGAACTCAAGTTCTCTGCCACCTCACTAACAACTCAATTTTCCGATAACACACTTAAACTTCAGAGCACAGCTGTCATGCTTTTCTTTGAATTCCCTTTTAGTCCTTCGGCCCATGCTCAACTCTGTCTAAGCTGAGAAATCTATATTCAATACTAAAGCAATGGGTACCAGACCACAGTGATCACCTTGACTAATATCCAGTAAGTTTAGGCCCATAGCATGAACACTGTACCTAGCAGTGTATCTTCGGGATGAATGTCCACGGTGCTTGGGTTCATCGGCGCATTGATGGCATTTTTACCCTCTTCTTGAAGGTCGCTCACTGGAAAAGAAGAAAGAGTAGAAAGAGGGTGAAAAATGCAAAGTTTGCAAGACATATAAGGTAGAAGAGGGTATTCATACTAAAAGAAAACATCTGGTAGGCACATTTGAAAATGGGCCCAGAGTTAATGGGATTAGGAACTGCAGCTGCAGCGGGAAACAGTATCAATATAACATCCTTTTATACCTTATTGAATTACATTCACCAGACTACCACATGAGAACACTTTGTAAGAGACTCAGTTCTACGGAAAGCGCAACCTCAGACTCGTAGTTTCTCCAAAAGTCACAAAGCCCACACCTTCTTGCAGGATGCTTCAGATCCGGAGCAGACAACACATGGTACAATCAAAATCCTTCTCTAATGGCTCCCCCACTGCTGATTGCCATCTTTTCTAACTGCGTAGCACCAGGGAACTACTGTTTTCTACTGACTTTATTACAAAATCTCAAAGAATCCTAGGGAGACTTGCCAAATAAAGGTGAAAATACATTTAATCCTAGCACTGCTGCTGGCTAAAATATAGACACAGCATGGACAGGTGAGCACAAATCTGGAATCTGTGATCACAAGCGCTTACTCCAAATCTACAACTCCGACTTGGGGAAGTCAGTCAAATACTCTGCATCAGTAAAATGTCTATTAAAATACTTCCACATCTCTCACAACATGGGAGGAACTAAATTTGGGAAAAAAGCTAAGTAGTTGTTTAGTCTCTAGGTAGAATCTGTCAGTAAGAAAAGCACTAGCAATGCTATAATGCCTTTACATTCTCTAAACTCAGATGACTGTGACTGGTTGTAGGCCAGACTTCTGAAACACAAGGATTTGAAACAGGAGATACAGAGTCACTGTAATAAATCCCATTTACTCTGTGACAGTGTTGTATTAGCATGGGCTAATAAGGTCTTTTGTGGAAGCCTTTTTGGTATTTTGGTCCTCTTTGGCCAGGGGAAGGGAGGGCTCGAATTCCCACACCCTTTCAGGAGGGCTTCTCTGTGAGGAGAAAAGGAGGAACCGCTGTCTCAGAGTCACAGCATCGAAACAGGCACTTCCCTCAAGAACAGTCATTATTCCCCTTTTGTCTTCGAAAAATCAAACCACAGGCTCATTGTTCACAGGTGCTGTGTGAATGCTACCGAATCCTGTGTCGGGACCCACCCTCTCTACTGCTCTGCAGAGGAAGAATAGAGGGGAAAAACAGAGATCCTGCTGCCTGGGAGGAGGAAAGGGAACAGCAACACACTACAGTCCCCGCTCCCTCTCTCATGGATACATGAAAAGACGCTGGAAGCAAATTACTACGCTTCTTAACAGCAGCTTCAAGATTTACTGCAGCCAATCCTCAGCTGTGAAAGGCTGTTCTTAGGCAAGCAACAAACTCCAGTGTCACAGACTGAGAGGTTGTGTCCCAGGGACCCCAGCAGAGCGGCTGCTTGGAGCAGCCTGGCGCAGTGGCTGCGGGAAGGGCCTTGGCAGCCCCAGCATAACTTGCTCCTTGCACCCTGGCAGCAAACGAGCGGAGCAGCATCGTGTGCGGCACGTGCAGCCAAGGTTTCACCTCCTGAATCGAGGTCGTTTTTAAAGAAACCCCGAATGGGAAGGAAGCCTCAGGCAGCAGCAAGGCACCGCGCTTACTGTAAGCGTAACGTTTCGTACCTGCTTTCCTGCGCTTCTTGCACAGGAGCCCTGCCATGCCGGCCTGTTGGCGCGCCGAGCTCAGCCGCGCGCATTCGCACCCCAACAGCGCCAGCGGCAACTGTGCAAGGAGACAGCCAAACCCGGGTTAATTTGGGCACAGTGACATCGGAGGAGGCAGGCAGAGAGGCTCCCAGCTGCTCTGCGGGGGGGGGGGAACAAGCTCTTGGCGCGGGAGCCGACCACCCGCGG